TTTGTGAAATAAGAACTGAAACAGTCAAGACAAGAAAAACTCTAGGAATGAGATTTCATGATCAGTATGTTTGGGTTTGAGTTGTGGTTAGGACGTAAGTTGAGGAATTGGAAGTTCCTTTTTTATGCTCTTGGTTTTTTACTCTCTGTGACATCTAGGAAGACAGTTCTTTTAAAAAGGACTTCTGCTTAACTTAAAAGACATTCTACCGGTCTTACCTGCTTATGTATATAGAGTAGGCAAAGAGGAAAACGTTTAATAATACTTTGGTGTGTTGGGACTATTTTTATTTTGTGTCTCATACGTTGTGCTTGTGATGAAAGTGAGGTCATGTCTCTTAATCATCAAATTAATTAGGTAGGCCTTCATACCTGCGATTGCTCATAGCCATTCTCTTTGGAGTCTCCAGTCCAGAAATTCCCAGGGTCCTCAGGCTGCTAGGCCAGTTCAGAGCCACCACCATGGTGGAAAGTGGTCAGTCCACTGAAGGGCACTTCCCAGGGAAGCCCGGCACCCAGATTTAAAGTGGCTTCATATTTTTTTCAAAAGCAACGTGTGTGCTTTTTCAAAGGTAATATTATCATTCCCTAAACAGTAAATTTTATGTGCAATGCATTTTCTGATAGTTTTCATTTATTCTTTAATTCATTCAGCACATATTTAAAGAGCACCTACTATGTGCCAGGCACTCTTCTAGGTACAGATGAGCCATCAGAGAAAAAACTGAGAAAAGCCTGGGCCTGAAGAAACTTCGAGTAGGGGGATGGTGAACACGCAATACACAAAGGAACATCACAGGGCTTTCCTGTTGGCGCAGTGGTTAAGAATCTGCCTGCCAGGGCATGGGTTTGAGCCCTGGTCCGGGAAGATCCCACATGCCGCGGAGCAACTAAGCCCATGCGCCCCAACTACTGAGCCTGTGCTCTAGAGCCCGTGAGCCACAACTACTGAGCCCGCGTGTCACAGCTACTGAAGCCCACGTGCCTAGAGCCCGTGCTCCGCTAAAAGAGAAGTCACTGCAATGAGAAGCCCGCGCGCCTCAACGAAGAGTAGCCCCCGCTCACCACAACGAAGAGTAGCCCCCGCTCACCACAACTAGAGAAAGCCCAGCAACACACAGCAACAAAGACCCAATGCAGCTAAAAAATAAATAAATTAATTAATTATTTAAAAAAAGAAACGTCACATATGTAGTAGGTCAGCTAAGAGCCGTGAACATAAAATGAATTAGAGAACAGGGCAAAGTGGTAGTTTGCTCACAATTCTCTGAGGAAGGCACTGTTTATTGCCATTGTACAGATTCGGAACTGGAAGCCCAGAGAGGTCAGGCGACTTGTCTTGAGCCCACCTAGGTAGTGAGTTAGTAGTAAAGGTTGCATTTGAATTTCAAGTCAAGCACGGGCTCTTAAGTTTAGCTGCCTCTAAAGTACTGAAACTTCTAGCAAATCCCCCAATGCTGGTTTCCTTGAAAATTTAAAGTCTCTTCTGTTGTATTGGTGTGTATACACAAACACATTTTAAAATGAAAATACTGCCTTAATTTCAGTATCAGGTAGTAAGCACAGTGTTTGTGTAAGGTATTTTAATTTACCCTAAATTTAAAAAAATGGAGAATCCTCATAAAGACTGTAGCATTTCCAGTGGGCCTTGAGGGATAAGTAGAATTTATTTTTTAAAATTATATCCTATTTGAAACATGTAAAAGACCATATTTAACGTATAAGTTATGAAGAGTAATATGATGAACACTCATGAACTCACCACCCATAGTTGTAAGTATACAACCCAATGCATTGTCACAGGGTGGACACACCTGTGAAACTAGCATCTCATTAAAAAAGACAAAAGACCATTACCAGCACCCGAGACACCCGCTCATGCCTCCCCCAGCCATCCTCCCTGTACCCCCGCACCCCCTGCCAAAGGTAACCACTATCCTGACTAATGTTACAGTTTAGTTTTTCTTGGTTTTGAAATTTATCAAAATGGAATCATGCAGTGTTTGCATTTTCATGTCTGGCTTTTCTTTTTATTTATTTATTTTTGGCTGTGTTAGGTCTTTGTTGCTGTGCGCAGGCTCTCTCTAGTTGCGGCGAGCGGGGGCTACTCTTCCTTGCGGTGCATGGGCTTCTCATTGCGGTGGCTTCTCTTGTTGCGGAGCACAGGCTCTAGGTGCGCGGGCTTCAGTAGTTGTGGCACGCAGGCTTCAGTAGTTGTGGCTCGTGGGCTCTAGAGCGCAGGCTCAGTAGTTGTGGCGCACGGGCTTAGTTGCTCCGCAGCATGTGGGATCTTCCCGGACCAGGGCTCGAACCCGTGTCGCCTGCATTGACAGGCGGATTTGTCACCACTGCGCCACCAGGGAAGCCTTGTGATTTGTGTTTTTAAAGAATTACTGTGATTGCTGTGTGGAGAATGGGTTGCAGAGGAATCTAGGTGATACTTGCTTTCTTATCATTTAGGATTTTATTCTATACTTAGATTAAAAAAACAATCTCCCTAGCTCTTGGCAACCACCATTCTACTTTGTGCCTCTATGAAATTTGACTAGTCTAGGTGCCTCATGTAAGTGGAATCATACAGTATTTGTCTTTTTGTGACTGCCTTATTTCACTTAGCATAGAGTGCTTGGGGCTCATCGTGTTGCAGTCAGAATTTCCTTTTTAAGGTTGAATAATATTCCATTTATGTTTAGAGCACATTTTATTTATCTATTAATAGACATTTGGGTTGCTTCCACCTTTTGGCTTTCGGAAATAATTTTACTATGAACATGGGTAAAAAAATACATGTTTGAGTCCCTGCTTTCAGGTCTTTTGGGTATATACCTATGAATGGAATTACTGGATCATATGGTAATTCTATGTTTAATTTCTTAAGGAACTGCCATACTGTTTTCCATAGCGGCTGCACCATTTTACATTCCCAAAAACAGTGTACAGGGGTACCAGTTTCTCTACACCCTTGCTAATAGTTGTTATTTTATGGGTTTTTGTTTGTTTTTTTGATAGTAGCCATCCTGATGGATGTGAGGTATTAGCTCATGTGGTCTTGATTTGCAATTCAGAAATCTAAAGCTTTGAAAGTGTTTAAAGAAAGGCAGATGGAGCCTCTGCCCTCATCAGGCCAGAGTGGACCCAGGCGTATCCATTAGGAAGCTTTTGCAGAGGTCCTGGTGAGAGAGGGCGGTGGCAGAGGAGCTGAGCGGGGAGGGTGGACTCCAGCAGAAGGAACAGGACTTGGTGGTAAATTGTCTGTGTTTGAGGAGGTGAAGGGCAGCAGAGAAGCTGGGAACACAGACCCTGGGTCTCTGGCTTGATAATTGCATTGGGAACAGGTTGGGGGTGGTGTTTCTGGTCCGTCCCCCCACCGCCACCCCAGTGAAGTGTTCCTGAGAGAATGACTCCGTTAGCTTCTTTCAGTGAGAGGTGTTTGGTTTTTTTTTAAGACACATATTCTTTTATTTCTGTTAAACTGAATATACAATTATTGTTCCCTAGGCAGCCAACTTTTACTGATAACTACAATTTTTTTTTTTTTTTTTTTTTTTTTTTTTTTTTAACTTGTTTTGTATCTAAAACTATGCTTAGTTTTTTACATTCATTTTTTTTTTTTTTTTTCTTTTTGTGATATGTGGGCCTCTCACTGTTGTGGCCTCTCCCGTTGCTGAGCACAGGCTCCAGATGCGCAGGCTCAGGGGCCATGGCTCACGGGCCCAGCCGCTCCGCGGCATGTGGGATCCTCCCGGTCCGGGGCACGAACCCACGTCCCCTGCATCGGCAGGCGGACTCCCAACCACTGCGCCACCAGGGAAGCCCCTGATAACTACAATTTAATTTCACGTTAACAAAACACAGACAGTGAAAAGACAACTTTGTGTAGATCTAATCACAATAGTAAATAATTTATACAAGTTTTTTTCTGTGGCCAAACAACTTCAAGATTTTGTATAAATTCATCGATAGATGTATTTACAGCAGGGGCACAGGGAGGGGCTTCTGAACTTTGGGGTCAAGAATCAGGATGTTCTTGTTGTCTGAACAATAGAAGGAGCAGGTTTCCAACAATGTTAGAATATGACAAATAGGTTCTTAGTTCAGATGAGGTCCATCCCCGTTAGCATTTGTCGTAATTTAACTTTTTCATCTAACTTATTCGTAATGGAAGGAGTGTGAGCAACCTAGTTGGTTTGCTTCTTTGATGCCTACTTAGAGCCAGAAGCCTTATCGTAATTGTTGCGTATGCCCACTGCCTGGGAGGGCAGATGTTCAGAGTTTTTTGCCTGGTTATGAATTAATGACTATCAAAATGTGGGGAAAACATTTCTGTGATCCACCGGGATTTTGTGGTACATATTTGTAATCACTTCATAACTCTGAGATGTCATTATAAGGAGGAAGTTGTTGATTATGTTTTTATTGAAATTAAGTAAGAAAAATCTAATCATTTTTTTCTTGAAAGTGAGAGTAAAATTGGTCCTAGTATAACTTTTGTTACTTTCACTGTTTCAGTGACTTATATTTATTTCATATCCTCCCTATTAATATGACCAAATTTATGTAGTTTTATTATAGTAACAACAAGCTTTAGTGTGTTTAAAAGTGTTGTATGCTTATTACAAATTCACAGTGTCACTCAAGAAGATTCAGTAAACAGAGGTGGTAAGGTGATTACGATGCAGGTTTTAGGGACTTCCCTGGTGGTCCAGTGGTTAGGACTCCGAGCTCTCACTGCCGAGGGCCTGGGTTCAGTCCCTGATCGGGGAACTAAGATCCCACAAGCTGTGTGGTGTGGCCAAAAAAAATAAAATAAAATAAAAGGTGGTAGCTTATGAAAATACTGGTACACAGAGTTATCACTTGTCTTGAATGAGTGCTTTTTTCTCAAGGCATATTTAGTTGTCAAGCTCTAGTATGCTTATTGATAACATTAATGTTGTTGTTCTTTCTCAGAATTGTGTTTCTGCTGTTCAGTTATAAAATGCCCTTTCGCTCTCATTGTAGATCCGACGGAGGCGCCTGGCACGACTTGCTGGTGGACAGACCTCCCAGCCAAACACCCCGCTCACCTCTCCCCAGAGGGAGAGCCCTCCGGGGCCTCCTGTAGCAGCCTCAGCCCCAGGCCCGTCCCAGAGTCTTGGTCTCAATGTCCACAACATGACCCCAGCTACCTCCCCCATAGGTGCATCAGGTAAGCCTTGCCTTCACACCTGGGACACATTTATAGTTCCCACAACTGTAAGCTTGCTCTTAACGCTTACAGTTGTGGCATTTCCACAACAACATAAAATGAATTGAACAATTGCTGAATTGAACAGCAGCTTTTTAAAATCCTGCAAGCAATAGTTTAAAGATTAAGATCATTAGAGTGTGTTTTGTTAATGTCTGTTCATTTTGATAGTGATCTGTTGAAGCTACTTGTTTTCCTTTCTATAGCTTTCATCTTTTTTTTTGCGGTACGCGGGCCTCTCACTGTTGTGGCCTCTCCCGTTGCGGAGCACAGGCTCTGGACGCGCAGGCTCAGCGGCCATGGCTCACAGGCCCAGCCGCTCCGCGGCATGTGGGATCTTCCCGGACCGGGGCACGAACCCGTGTCCCCTGCATCGGCAGGCGGACTCTCAACCACCGCGCCACCAGGGAAGCCCAGCTTTCATCTTTTTTTTCAAACAGGGTCAGGTCTTTATCTCCGATGGCGATGAGATTAAGAATAAATTTGGTTCTGCTGATTTCATGAGTTGGGTTGATGCTTTTTTTTTAAGATAAAATAATCTGAAAATGCAAGATTGAACTAATGGTCAAAATGAAGGGAACTTACCTCCTTAAGCTTCGATCATGCCTCTACCCACCTACTCAAATGTGTGGCCAGTTCCTGTTGGGCTTGAACTGTCCCTGCCCTAACTGCAGGCTGCACCGTGGATCCCATCTCCTCTCACCTACCCAGAGCTGTTGTTCCAGCAGTTCCTGTCTCTCTCCTGCTTCATCTGGTTTTCCATCTCAAGTGGAAACCTTTTATTTTCTCTTTTAACAGCCACTGTGCATGCTGTTCCTTCTCCCCTCTTGGGAGTAAATAGAAAGGAACTCTCTTGATCTCATATACCCTGCCGGCTTCCACCCCACATCTCTGCACCCCTTCACAACAGAACTTCTGGAAAGAGTTGCCTGTCCTCAGTCTCCTCCTTCTGTCCTTGTACCTCTGCTGAGTCGAATCCCGTCAGGTGAGGCCTCCCGTGGTCTGCTCTGAGTCACTGTCTGATCTGACTTGTCAGCCCCATTCACCGTGGATTTGGCGTCATTCTCCTTGAGGTGCTTTCTCTGTTTGGCTCCGGAGCATCACACTCCTGGTGTTCGTCCTGTCTCCATCTGTTCCTTCTTAGCTCTTTGTATGAGTCTTTTTCGTTTCCCTGGCTTCGAAGTGTCAGGGTTCCAGGACTCAGTTAACCTCTTGTCCTCTCCATCTATGCTTATTCTCTTATTGATTTTATCCAGCTTCCTGGGTTTAATTGGTATTTCTAATCTGATGATGCCTAAGTTTATATCTCCAGCTCAGACCTGTCGTTTGAACCTCAGACTCACGCATCATCTACTACACATCTCACAGGTAACACGTCCAAAATCGAGCTCCTGATATTTCCTTACATCTTGTCTTTTCCTAGGACCCCTTCTCAATAAATGACAACTTCTTTTTTTTCTAGTTACTTAAGCCTAAAACATTCTCTCTTCTTTTTACCTCATATTCTAGATCGGGGGTCAGCACACTCTTTCGAACCCGTGTCCCCTGCATTGGCAGGGGGACTCTCAACCACTGTGCCACCAGGGAAGCCCAATCAATACATAATTTTACCATCAGGCAAATTTTTCTCTAAAGGGCCAGATAGTAAATATTTTTGGCTCTGCAGGCTGTGCAGTCTCTGTCACAAATATTCTTCTCTGCCCCGTAGCACAAAAGCAGCCATAGGCAATATGTAAACTAATGATCATTGCTGTGTTCCAGTAAAACTCTTTACAAAAATAGGTAAGTGTGGCCTGTGGACTGTAGCTTGCCGACCCCAGCTCTAGGTCTATCAGCAAAATTTAGAACCAGACCCGATTCTCACCATCTCTTCTCATCTCACCACCTCTCCAGGTTCAAGGCACTAGCATATCTTGCCTAGATTACTGGAGTGGGCTCCAGACTGGTCTCTCCATGCCTACCCTTGCTTCACCTCAGTCTGTTCTCAATGTAGAGCCATACTGGATCCTACTAAAGCATAAGTACAGCATTGTATGACAGCAGCGTTATTTTTTACAGCAAGCAGGATAGTTACTATCACAAACCAACAGACTCGGGCGACTCTGAATGGTTAGTTTTTGGCAGTGCACCTCTCTGCTGTTAAGTCCCGATTATGTTTCTCATATAATCATCATAATTCATAATCATAAATAGGTAGATATTATTAGCCATGCTCTTGGCAGGTTGGATAAGCAGATTTTCAGGGATCTATTAAATAAACAAGTTTAGACAAAACAAAATAGAAAACGAACCCCTCGTAAGACAGGTCACATCATTTTCTGTTGGCTCCCGGCCTCCCTCAGAATGAAAGTCAGAGTCCTCACCTTGACTCGGGGCCACATGTGACCTGGCCCTGCCCCGGCCCTGCCCTCCTCTCTCACTGCCCTTCTTGTGCCCTCTGCTCCAGCCATACTGGCTTCCCCTCTGTTCCTGGAACATTCCAGGCATGGTACCTAGTGGGGGCCTTTGTATTTGCTATTTCTTCGCCTAGAATGCTCCTACCCTAAAATCCACATGGCTTTTTCGTTCAGCTCTTCAGTTGTTTATCCAAGTGTCACTTTCTCAAAAAGGCCTTTTCTGGGGCTTCCCTGGTGGCTCAGTGGTTGAGAGTCTGCCTGCCAATGCAGGGGACACGGGTTCGAGTCCTGGTCTGGAAGGATCCCACATGCAGCGGAGCAACTAAGCCCGTGCGCTACAACTGCTGAGCCTGCGTGCCACAACTGCTGAGGCCCGCACGCCTAGAGCCCGTGCTCCACAACGGGAGAAGCCACTGCAATGAGAGGCCTGCGTACCGCAACGAAGGAGTAGCCCTGGCTCGCTGCAACTAGAGAAAACCCGCATGCATCAACGAAGACCCAACACAGCCAAATAAATAAATAAAAAGAAAGAAATGGGGTCCCTCCTAGATTCTAGATGGTGTGTAGAGATTGGGGAACACTGGTAGACATAATAAATTTTGGGGAGAATTGCCCCACTTGAGGCTTGTGAAGATCTTATGGAGGGTTGAGGAAAAAAAGAATTCAGATGATATTCTTGCTGTCTTATAAAAATGTTGCAAATACAGTATATTATACTATATGATATACTCTGGCACTCTATTACTATAAGGTTATTGTATACATAGTATAGCATAACACCCTATGTTACAAGTATAGTTACTTAAACAACTTATTGTAATTATCAATTTAATTTTAGAACTGGTTTTTATAAGGTGAAGATTTAAAAGCTGCTAAATTGATACCCCATAAAAATTGTTGAACTTTATTATTATTATTATTTTTGCGTTATGTGGGCCTCTCACCGTTGTGGCCTCTCCCGTTGCGGAGCACAGGCTCCAGATGCACAGGCTCAGCGTCCATGGCTCACGGGCCCAGCCGCTCCGCGGCACGTGGGATCTTCCCGGACCGGAGCACGAACCCGTGTCCCCTGCATTGGCAGGCGGACTCTCAACCACTGCACCACCAGGGAAGCCCGAACTTTATTATTTTATTAAAAAGTTGTCAGTCCCGGGCTTCCCTGGTGGCGCAGTGGTTGGGGGTCCGCCTGCCGGTGCGGGGGGCGCGGGTTCGTGCCCCGGTCTGGGGGGATCCCGCGTGCCGCGGAGTGGCTGGGGGCTTGGGCCGTGGGAGGGTCCCGCGTGCCGCGGAGCGGCTGGGCCCGTGGGCCATGGCCGCTGGGCCTGCGCGTCCGGAGCCTGTGCTCCGCGGTGGGAGAGGCCGCAGCAGTGAGAGGCCCGTGTATCGCAAAAAAAAAAAAAAAGTTGTCAGTCCTTTCAGTGTGGTAGGTAAAATGATATTCTCTTCAGGACATTGTTGATGCTCTGTTATTTACTCCTTCAGTAAGTATTTATTGAGGACTTATTTTGGGTTACACTGGAATTAATGATTTAAAGTTCTCCTGTCTTCTCTAAGCTTCTTTCAAAATTCTCACTACATCAGATCCTTTTGGTATTTTACTTGAATCTACTTATGAATAGTAAAAATTTAGTTTCTCTT